TCGTCAAACAAAACTGCTTTCATTGAAATGGCTCGACTTTGTTATCGAGACAATGGTCGAATAATGGAAATCATTGATGGCTTTGAAAAGTCTTATCGATCATCCGAAGTTTTTCATTGGTGTTTTCGTTCTCCATTTCCAAATCACTTTCTTCATCATGCCATTCGCTCTCACAATTTGAAACAGTTGAATGTGTGCCAATATATGTTTATTGATGCCAATCGTTTCTTTCAACAACAACCGAAACATAAATCCAGTGATCAATTTTATTGAGGAATGAAATTAACCAAAGAAATTCTAGATCAATTCGAAAGTCATGTTGGTCAACTTGTATGTACAAGTGGGTTTTTCCCATGTACTAAAGTCAAGAACACATGCGTTATCATTGCCATCATCACCAGGCTATCGTTCTGATCTTTCATCTGTTCTGTTTAAAATTGATTGTGATTCTACTAGTATGTACAGTCAATTATCAAATAAATTGTTATCGAATGTGATTATCTTCGATATTTCAATTTCATTCCGAGTGATCAATGTTCATCGAGGACAAATGTCCGTCATTAAGATGAAACCAGCAATCAGAGATGGAAAACGGATTGCACAAGATTATCTTGAACAACATCGTGATCAATCGATCAAGTCAATACTCGATCAGCTTTTGGCACTTCCTCGAGTTCAAACTCCTCCTTCACCTCCACCACTACCACTTCAAACAATCATACCGACAACCTCTATTTCCACCAGGTATCACAAAGACATCGCGTTGATTTATTGTTATTTGTGTTGAAGAATAGTTCATATTGATCTCTTTTCAAAGTTCGTCTATCAACGATGATGAATTGGAAGCACGAAAGCATTTGGAACAAGACGAAATCGATTTGGCTTTAGCTGCCTATCGACGTATTCATCCTGTTTCTGCTCGAATTCTAAACATCATCGGGCAGTTGTGTGCTGAAAAGAAGAAAGATTACGATTATGCTTTGGAATGTCACACACAGGCATTGAAAATTTAGGAACAGGTTAGATATTGAGTAAGAAATATCTAAATTCAAACTTGATTTCGTATCTATTCACAGACGGGTGAAGATTTTTGTGACACATTAGCTGATTTGGGCAATATTCATCATTGTCGTGGTCAATATGATTTAGCTTTGGTTTATCATCGGCGTGCTCTTACTCTTCGTGAACGTGTTCATCCAAATGATGTCGCTGCTCAAGTAGCCAGTTTACTTGCAATTGGCAATGCTCATTGGGCTCGTCGAGAATTTGATAAAGCTATTGAAATGACACAACGTGCTTTGTCTTTGCAAGAGACTCTGCAACTAGTCAACGAGGTTCCTGTCGGTACCATTTTAGCCACACTCGGCAACATTTATCAAGATTCTGGAAAACATCACCAAGCTCTCGAGATGTGTACGCGAGCATTAGCTATTTTCGAAAGAAATCTCCCAGCCTATTCACAGGTTATAGCTGAATTATTAGAAGAAATGGGCGCCATTCAATTGGATCTACGTACACTAGATGATGCTAAGCAAAGTTTTGAACGCGTTGTCGACATTTACACGAAAGTCCTACCACAAAGACATCCCAATCGAGTGTCAGCGGAAATCGATCTTGAACGTGTTATTCGGCTGATCCAGAAGAAAAAAAGCAAATTAAAAAAACACACCTGAAACATGTATTGAAATGAAACCTTTTTCAAAAAGATACTTCGTCAAATGATGGTAAAGAAATCGATTTTGTTATAGTTTGAACAATCATCTGTTACTTTTTCCATCTGCATAAATAAATGAATGAGACAACAACTTGTTTTTTATTACTGCATATTTCCAAAAGAATCGAAATATCAAAAAAAATTGTTAAAGAAGATTTCGAAAATAGAAGAGTTGAGTCTGTTGGCTGAACTTCGATTCAATTTATATTGATTTCAAAAAGAAATTTATTAAGCATTGATTTTGTCGACTGAACTTCAAGATTGGTACCGACCCAGGCAAAGAGCCGATCAATATTCGCTGAAAATAATGTTGAATGAGTCTTTACAAAATCTTTGAGAACTTGTTCAAGATCAAGTTCTTACAAGGATCTCAAATGTTTGCTTAGCTAATGTCAGAATCGAGAGCATATGGAATATGTATTTCCTTGAACGTTATTCATGAAAACAACTTATGATTTATCTCATGCCAATTAATTTCAAAGAGAATTTTAATATCTCATAATTAGGTATGAAAAGTGTCCTTACAAGGAGAAAACGTCTATGCTTACTTTCAAGTGAACTCAATTGAAAATTACCTATTGGTCATCTCTAATTAGAGTTAGGAATGAAAGCTAGATGAGATAGAATGAGCAGGTATTTACTCTGAGATGTTACTCATGCGATCTGTTTAGGTTTTCCTAGTTTTATTTTCAATTTTTCGAACTTTATGACTGTGAACGCTTCTACTTCTCTGTCTTCTTCAGACAAGTGTTCTTTCCATGCATTTGTTCGACAATTTTCTCTGAAAGCATGTCATTGTTTTTTATGCATGACTAAGTGTCTCACAGTGAATTTCTAATTCAAATAAGTTCAGAGCTCTATGATAAGTGCATTATCTAAGCTCAAATAAAATGTGTATTCGATTCCTGATACTGTTTGTTTTTAACTGTTTCATTATGTCAACTGGACGAATGTTTAATGGATTAACTGTGGTCATGAATGAGTCGACAATCCACGTAGATGTCAGAGAAGATAGAAAAAAAATGTCTGAAGTACAAATATTACAATTTTTTCTGCAGAGGCTACAACAATCAGTCGCATTTTTGTGAGATAGTTTTGATTATATACGAGTACAGAAATCAAAAAAGATCGTTATCCATCCAACGTATAGACAAATTTAGTAAGCCATGAAAGGCAATAACGAATAGATAAAATGTTCATCATCTCTAAAGTCAATTCATTACTATTAAAGTTATTATGTTTGTTTCATACGAAAAGTATACAACACTTTGTCCGCAATCACTCATAAAGAATAGTACACAATCAAAAACTCATCAGATTTCGTTACGTCGTTAGACTAAAAACAGAAATTATCCTTTGCAATACAACAATAGAATACGACATTCAATCCATATTTGAAACTATTCGACTTGATCAGTGGTTCATGATAATCTATAGAAAATTTGTTCGTTGAGACAGCACAACTACCTCAATTTTGTTAAAAATTCATGGATCATCGAACGTATATGATGAAAAGATATTGTTATCATCGTTTACTAGTACAAGGTGCTCGTACTGAGCTCTATTCACTGTAACAGACAAAATTGTCTTTTTTACGAATGAATTTCTTGCTTATTTCAAATGAGCAATGCCAAGTCATTAAAAATACATCGAGACAGTGATTCATCAAAATTAGGCGGTATACCATGTGCTCATTGGGTTTTCTACGACCTTCCTTTCTTACTTTTCTCTCGTTACTAGATTCAAATCAAGATGTCGCAGGCATTTTTTCTTGCTTTTATTAGAACAAGCTTCATTTGTGTGTGTATTATGATTCATATTTTCACGTAATCATGGTTTCATCCGTTCTCTTCCCAGTTAATGGACTTGAAAGCTGGTCTTTCACAGCACTCAAGTCAACAAAAGATTTTAGTTTTGAAGATAAAAATCTTTCTACAATTCAAAGCTGTTGTTTTACTGCTTCATAATATCTTTCTAATGAATCATTTTCAAATCGCACATTTCTGCGTTGTCTTGCATTAAATTTCATCCAAATAAAATCGAATGAAAATAATCGTCAGTAATTTTCATCAATATTTTTTTTACAGTTACAGCTAAAAAGGAATCTATTTAAAAAATAAAAAATAATATTTATCTAAAATTTGCTTCGAACTTGGTTTAAAGATTACGTTATGTTTTATTGATTTGCTTTTTGATGCAAATCAGTAATATAGAATCTTGTTTGGGAACATATACTGACAATTATTTGTGTTAAAAGTGGAAACAACCCGTAAGAAATCCTTTTCCAGCTTAAATATAACTAAATCTTGTATAAAATTCTTGTTCTTTTAAGGAATTCTACACTTGTGACTGTATCTATCGTGCTACGGGAGAGCTCTGTTTCTTCTATATAGTTTATCAATCTCTAAAATTATATTCTACATAGCTCGATCTATCACTTTCCAAAGTCCTTTCTTTTATCACTATTTTATTATTCTTTTGCTATTTGTGAATTGCCCCTTGTGCACTCTGTTGCTTTTTATTATCATCAATACGAAAATTATAAGAATTCAGATGTAATTTCTTTCCCTGTTCTTTTTTCTACACGGATATTTCAGCAATCTATGAGATCGATCAATACTGAACTCAAATTTTTCATCCTTCTTTGCTTTATTGATTTAACCGGAATTCGTGGTAATAATTTCAAAGTTATGATATCAATTTCTTTTTATTCGGGGACTGTTGTTGATGCATTTATCACTGTTACGAAAATTTTGAATTCTGTTTCTATGTATGGTAATTGGTATTTGTTTTATCGAGATGATAATCTGGATATGTTGCCAAGTACCTATGAAAGATACTATGAAGATTACTAAATATGACAGGATCAGTTTTTCTAATGCATCACGCTCGTTTTCTTTGTCATCCAATCAGCATGCATACAATCTAGTAAGAGCAAATTGGGGTCAAACGTTTTCTCGTCAACGTATATTTGACAACGATTCATTCAAAAATATCAATGAACAAAATGTTTGTTCCTTGGTGCATTTTTTTACCCGCGAAGCTGCTCATAATGGTAAATCTATTCAATTTTCGACAGGTAAGCGGAAAAAGATAAGAATGCACTATGTGCGAATCTTTCTACAGGTATGTTTGTTCTTTACGATTCGACTAAACGTTTCTTTAACCAATTCATGGCGGCTAAAAATGCACAAATTCATAATGATGAATATCGCTCAGATTATATTCGACGGCCTCTATATTTTGCTATCGATCTGGCAAAAAACATATTCAAAGTATCGATGGATCAGGATTCTTTTGTTAATTCACCATTCATATATCTACGTGGTGATGAATCATCACATTTTCGTGAACGTGGCTTCAGCCATGATCGATGGCATGTGCATCCTGCCTAATATGATTATTGAATACTAGATTCAAAACATCATTCAATAATTTGCATTTATTTTTTTACCATTTAAGTGTAAAAGAGATATAATGCATGGATGTATGCCAAATGGATTTGGTCATATCTTGTTCAGTAAGCTGAAAAGTTTATCCAACAATGCGGTCGATGGCTACCGAGGTGATCGTCTTGATGTCAAGCCCGAACAATATGGCTTGAAACAGTTTCGTCATTATTTAGCTCATGAGTAGGACACATTTATTTAGTAGAATTTTAACTAAACTGTTCTTCCATTTGTTGAATTATCAGACTCAGCCAACTATATAAAATCTAGACTGTGGTTATTTCTATGTACATTCGTCGAACGCCTAGATACATCGTTGTGTAAGTCGACGGAAGCATTCCATGAATGGATTGATCCAAAATTGATTAGACAGTGGAATCAAATACTTTCTACTATTAACACTTTGACATTGAGGAAAAGGCGAGAAATGCAAAATCAAGCGTCGTCACATGGCATTTTCGAAATTTATCATCAAAACATTTCTGTTTCCATCGTTGACACACGTCAAAAATTTTCGAATCAAACTTGAACGTCGCTATGGTCAAGATGTAAGCGCACGCAAAGGACACGAAATTATTTTTACAACTCAACAATTGTTGAAGAGTTCTTTTACATGCGACAGCATTCGCTACATTGAAACTAAACCGTGTAATCTATATATATAATGTTCAGTGTGTGTGTCTGTGTGTTTCTCTGCGCCGGGTCAAAGGTCAAAGGTCAAATAAGACTCTAAGGGAGAGATTTCCAGGGGCTATTTTATGGGGTACTTATAAGATCCTCAAGGGCTATCCTATGGGGTACCTATAGGTCCTCAAGGGCTATCCTAAGAGGGTACCAATAGATCCTACAGGGCTATCCTACGGGGGCACCCATAAGTTCTCAAGGGCTATCCTATGGGGGTACCCATAAGTTCTCAAGGGCTATCCTATGGGGGTACCTATAGGTCCCCAAGGGCTATTCTATGGGGGTACCCATAGGTCCCCAAGGGCTATCCTATAGATCCTCAAGGGCTATCCTAAGAGGGTACCCATAGGTCCTACAGGGCTATCCTACAGGGGCACCCATAAGTTCTCAAGGGCTATCCTATGGGGGTGTCTCTAGGTCCCCAAGGGCTATTCTCTAGGGACACCCATAGGTCCTCCAGAGCTATCCTATGGGGATACCCATAGGTCCCAAGTGCTATCCTATGGGGGTACCAATAGGTCCCCAAGGACTGTTCTATGGGGGTACCCATAGGTCCCGAAGGCATATCATATGGGGGTACTCATAGGTCCTCTAGGGCTATCCTATGGAAAACCCATACGTCCTCCAGGGCTATCCTATGGGGGTACCTATAGGACCCCAAGGACTATCCTGTGGGAATACCCATCGGTCCTCCAGGGCTATTCTATGGAGGTACCCATTGGTCCCCAAGGGCTATCCTATGGGTTACTCATAGGTCCTCAATGGCTATCCTAGCGGGATACTGATTGGTCATCAAGGGCTATTGTATTGTGATACCGATATGCCCTGGAGGGAGTAAGGCAATAGGGAGATAAGGCTGCAAGGAATATAAGGCTATAAGGTCGAAGGCTACATGGCCTATAAACATATGTGCGATATGAGAGTATGAGGCCGTAGGACTATCTGTCTATATACATAATATAGTGTCTGTATGTATTTTACCGGATGAAAAGTTAAATGTCTGAGGTCATGGGCTAAAGGACAAAACAGCCGTGCAGTATGCACGGATTCTCGCTAGTAAGAGTATAATGACCAGTTTACATGCATAGTTTTATTTTATGGAACCACTGAATGGTTCACTTTTTAGCTGATAATAAAGTATGGTCATTCGCATACATGAGAAAGATCAGATGAAACACGTTCTAGATTAGATCTACGATTCATCGAGTATCTTGGGTACATGATTTCTGATCCATATCGCTCTTGAAGTTCTTAGATTATCAGGAAGAATGAGTATTCTAAAAGCGATATGATCACATCGGGCAGATCTTATCCTATGATTTTGATGAAGAGGTCAAGCGCGAACGCTCGTCTCACTGTGAAAAATGATCCACTCGAGGAGACAATCTATCCTCTGCTAATGTCAACTCCATCGATGTGCAATGACGGAGTCTCAATCAGAGGTTTCCTTCTTCTTGATCAAGAAAGATCCTATGGCAAGTAAGTATGTTCTTTCATTCACATTACTCTAGTTTTTATAATCTCAAAGATAGTCTTCGCATTCTCAATAACTCGTTATTCTCTTTCTCTTCCTCGTAATTATTCTTCTTCTTCTGTTTTCTGAATATGATACAGTATTCTCTATCGGTATGTGCAGAGAAAAAACACAGCATATGATGAAATTCTCTTGAGTCATAAGTGACACTAACAAGGAAAAAATGATTTTAGAAGCTGAAGAAAACAACAACTGTGAAACTTCTGCTATTTATTCAAGTATAAAACAGTAGCTGAGTCTATTAGATAAATATACTTACCTATATAGGATCTTCTTCGAACAAGAACAAAAGACGACCATGATGAAAGCTCTATCATTGCACCTTGATGATGCTCAAACCAGTAAAAGTTGATCATGTTTTACATGAAATCGAGCGTTCGCGCTTGACTCTTAAATAATTTTAGAAAGGAAAAAATCTCATCTTGATCGAAACATGACAAAATCTTTTTCGAAACTGTTTTGCCTCTTACGTAAGAGTCTTGTTTATAAGTATGATAAAAATGTGATTTGATGTTTTCATCTCTTCGCAAAAAATCTCACCAACGAAAAAAGGTGACAGTTCACTTCGCTTTGAATGACTGATAAATACATTATAGAGATAATTCACAAGCTTTATTGCAAATAGTCAATATATAATGAGTAATTATTAAACTAGATTTGTTATCGTATTGGTACTGATAGAGCGTCGTAAGCGAAGAACAATAAAAGTATGTATGAGAGCTAATATGCCTGCCGTTAAATACATTGGTGTGCACCAAATGAAGAATCGAAGAAATAGTAGAAAAATTTTCATAATCAGTACTCCAAAACAGCATAAAACAATATTAAAGATCGTTTTATTTATTATCGTACCAACTTCATACGCTTCTAATGACCCTCGAAGTGAACAACCAAAACAAAATAGTATGAGCCCGAAAAAGAGTATGATCCACTTATCGGATACCAATCGAAAAAAGTACGGAATGCTAAAACTTAATAGGGCACTAAATAACATAATAAGACAAAAACCTCGATAGAGGTGCTTTGAAATCCAATTTAAACAGATCACATAGAGACCGAAGATAATGATACTGATTGCTATGAAACCAGAAAAGGAAATGATCCAAATGAGATATGGCGCTTTTCTCCAATTCTTCAGAATGAATATTATCATCAAAAACATATGATACAAATGACCACATCCACGTTCTCGTGCTTGTCGAATCATATTAATACCGAGTAGATTCGTTGGTAATCGCGAATTTTGTCGTTGTTCTTCAAATGTATTGAATGCATTCAACATTGTTTGAAGCAATTGCATATTTCTTTGCTCTGTAGTTAACGGAAATATTTCTTGTTGTTCAGTTGTTCTTGATTGTAGTGTAACAAATTGTTCGAACATAGTATTGAGTCTATTCATATAACATTCATTAAAATGATTTCTAAACTCGGTCTTTTCTATGAACGATTGACAGATTGTACATCGAATCGGACACGGCATACAGTTACCAGGTACTTGTATATGTTCAGTAAATTCTGATACAAGTATCAATTTCATGCATTCAGGACATGTTCGAGTCAAATATTTACACTCAACATTTTCATGTCGTTCTAATGAATCGTAAGCTAAAACTTCTGAACAGCCGAATGAAGCATTTCGACATTGAATTTTTACACGTGATAATAATGAATGAAACAACGGTGGACAGCGTCGTTCGTCATATGATTGACAACGAAATGGACATGTTTTGTCACTTTTCGAATATTCTAGCCAAGTGTGAATACATTTTTGACAAAATAAATGTTGACAAGATGCACATGAACATGGATTCCACAGAAGACAGCGACAGATTGGACAAAAATATTCATCTGGTAAAAGATGACCGTCAATAATTCGATCTCGATCAATGTCACCACCCTCCATTGAAGAATTGTATTGGGATGTTAAATGTCCATCCATTGTAGCTGTTAATTTCTATAGACTCAGAATACTATCAATGAAACTTAAACTCTAAAAGTGAAAACGTAGGAAGTAATGCTTTGCTAGTGTAAAACAATTTTTCTGTATATTCTTTGCAATCTAAAAGCAACGGTAGGGTAGGAAGAAAGGTAAGAAGTAAAAAACGCATGCGTCATTGCACAACACAAACAAACGTAATTGGTGATTTATTGTGAATCACTGCCAACTCTTTTTGCTTTCTTCAAATACTTGAAAATCTGATTGAGAATCTGGTTGTAGACTGGTTCACTACCAAATTATTAAATTCGTTTTTGTTAGATGCTTTTATTCTTAAAGATGAATATCTACTTGATTATATTTTTTCCTGCAGAAATAAATCAATTTGATAGATAGAAAGGAATGTAGTCAATATTTACAAAATCTTCCACAAGCTTGTTGAGAGAATACGAGTGCCTCCAAGTAAGAGCTGTTATCGATCACAATGATTCTCAAGTATGGGTGGCACTTTAAGTTAACTTTAACTTTTAAAGTTTAAAGTAGTACTTTAAACTTTAAAAGTTAAAGTTAAAGTGGCCATACTTTAAACTTTAATTTTAAACTTTTTAAAGTTAAAGTCTACGTTTTCCTATGAAATAAAACTTTTCTTAGAAATTCATAAAGTTTAATAACATTCATGAAAGTATCCATAAATCTCCATGGATTGTGTAACGTGGCTATCCATAGGTCATCCACTACTATGCAAGGAGGGTATTCATAGTCATTCACTGGGATATAGCCGTGCTATCCATAAGCTCTCAACTGCTATATAAGAATGTGGGTGGGGGGGGTGTCAATAGTTCGCGAACTACTATATAACGAGGTACCTATGGGTCATCTGATCCTATATAATGGGGATATAGATAAACTTCCTAGGGTTATAGAAAGCGTGTATTCATTACCATTCGTGACGTTTATCGGAGTTGCCGATAAATGGCCATATACTACCTAAGCCTGGTACTCATTTCTGTCTATCGACTGCTAAAGTGACCTTCTGACAGTTCACTACGAACTGTGCAGAGGTAGTTTACGTAACTCCTCCTAGGGAATACAGAGATTGCTTCTCATATTTCTTCACAGCTTCTGAAGAGGAAGTCATGGGTGAAAGGTAACCCTCTGATGTTTGTCTGTAATCTTCGTGTATGAGATGTGTGAGCGATCTTTGAGTAAAGCCCTTTACACATTAGAAGGCCCCGGCTTTTCTATTCTGTCTTATCATTCACAAGTCACAAGTGGGGTCTTGTATTATGTCTCTAAAAACAGTCAAATGTTTTGGTGATCTCAACGAAAAATCCTAATTTCAACACTTTCTTGTTCCATGTACCGTTAGTAAACGACTTTATTTTACTTATCCAGCACTCATGAATGGAAAGAAAGCAAATAATATTTTAATTCAAAAAAGAGAAAACAATCGTTGGTTAGAAGAGTGTTCTCCAAACAATATAGACAACATATCTTAACTTTTTTGTGCGATTTATAATAGGACTATTTTTTTTCTAAAGAATACAATCTATCATTGGTAGCACTTATGTTCTATATAACTACATTCTCGGACAGAAATCTTTCCCCCTCTTTGTTTCTATTCTATCATACTTCGCATCAAATTTATGATCAAATAAAGATATGACATAAGAGTTTTATTTCAGTGTGGTCACCATATTGAAATAAAACTCTTATGTCATATCTTTATTTGATCATAAATTTGATGCGAAGTATGATAGCATAGAAACAATGGGAGAGAGACTTTTACCCTGAGGTATAAATAGCTTAACGAAAGAAAATTAACCCTTTTTATGTCAAAGTTATTCCAGTTAGCTGCTCATGTTGAGGATTGGCTCGTATAAACAGAATTGATTCAAGATGAAATGTACCACCAGTTTAGTTATTAGTTTCTAGCTAATTTGAATGAATATGGTTGTCTACGAAGAAACAATTTACAGAAAAAGAGCAATCGAATGCACGTTGAGAGTGATTTTAGAATCTTTTGTGTTTGCTTCGAAAAGTACCTTGGCATCTTCATGCGAAAAGAAATACGTCCTCGGACATATGAGAGGAATTTCATAAGCCACGTCTCACTGTATGTCCTCAGAGATATATTTTTTCCAATTATGAATGAGATCTTGCATGATAAGAACGTCAAAATTTCTAGAAGAAAGTGCACAGACGAAGCGAAGTATTAATTAATGGACAACGGGTTTTTACCGAAGATGTTCTTATTTCAGAAAGATCTCTTCATGTGTGACACGTTTGGAAGCGTACCACATTAATTAGGTCCTGTGATCGTTGAAACGCATATTTTTGCAAAGAAAATCTAACAATTTTTTCACAGCATGCTGCAAAGAAGTATTAAAGTGATCTTAGAACACGTTTTTTTTTATAAAGAAAATATTTTTTTTTACTAACTACTCTTTCCTATTAGCTTTTTCTCATGAACTGTCCAACTCAGAGCTGACATGCTGCTGAGACGATGGAAGCAAAAGATTGTCCGTACTAAAAAGAAACATAAATACTACCATATAAATAAATGCTAAAAAAAGTTAAAAAGCTTGAGAAATTATTAACAAAATCAAATTTCAGGAGTATCTTCTAAACTGTCTTCGGCTGCGTTTGTCCAAGGGAGGTCTTCTAATATGTTGAGGCCTTTACACGTTCTCTTCATTTACAGCTTAACAACATCATCGTAATCTTTGGTTTTGATTGAGATCACGCTCCATGCCCTCTTCATCAGTTTCCATTTTACAATCTTACTATTTTAATCGTGTTACATTCTTTGTTTTGAATATGAGAGTGGTGTCTTTCAAATAATTCCTGTATCCCACGTAGACGTGATCCGTGCTCTCTGTGTGTTTCTGTTTAAATAGCGCGATTTCATACGTTCAGGTAGCAAAAATATCTATACATCAATTTGTTCTTATTTTGCTTATCTATTAACAATCTTGAGTGTGTCCATTCCGAATTCCTTAGAGAATGGCTCCAGGCTGATGGGAAAATGTCGAAAAGTAAATAATGAAGTCAAAAAATATCGGAAAAAATGACGTCTCCTGGAAATGGCGACTCTGATCACTTATAGTTCATTTTTATTTATTTTTATAATGCTTCTAGACTAGATTTTTGTCCAGTAATGATTGTGATGAGAATTACTAGATAAAAACTACTTAAAAGAGTTGCACGAGTAAATATCATATAACGAAAGTTCTATCGTTATGGCTGAAGTTGCTACATCTTCAACAGGTGTAACACCCCCAAAATCTCTAGCTATTTCATTGATCAGTTCAAATAAAGCTAAATTTTCACGGATAGAAGATGAATACTTTCTTTAAGATTAAATAAAATAACTCTTACTACTGAGTATTGAATATGCACAGCTAATGGGTATTCGGCTTTGTGAAGGTTTAGGAGAAATACTAAAACAAGCGGAAACAATTGCTATTGAACATCGTAGAGATAATCTTGGCGAATGATACTATGATGGTGTGAAAAATATTATAGAACAATCAGATGGTTTGTCATTTACAGTTGCTAAACAGAAAATGACATATTATCGATCTTAGTGATTACTTACATTTGATCTCTGTCACAATGTTAATACTGATTCATGTCATAAAATATATCATTTGCTATTCAGAATTCTCTAAAACATTTAACAATCGTTTTCATCTGTATATAATTTTGCAATAGTTTTTTTTCCAAAGACATTTTTCTCTTTCAACGTTTCGTCCTTCGTTTTTTCGACATTTTTCGTCTAAATCAAAGTTTCTCTCCGGATTTATATATTTTTTCCTGAGAAAGTCACTCAGCTGTGAAAAAAGGTTGCAGCTACGAATTTGATGATTCTGACATGATTCGTCCCAAGATACTCTAGGATTCTTACAATATTACCATTAAATTTCAACTACAATTTTGCCACGAATCTACGAGTGCCGTGAAAAGTGTGTAGCCAAGGAATTTTAGAATCTCCACAGAACTGGAAGCATGATTCTATCAAAATCCTAAAGAGTTTGTGGTTATTGGAGAGCTGACAATCTTTGAGCATACTTAGAGTGAATATGAATAAAAGATAAACTTATGTTAAACGAAAGCCTTAGTTGCAACAAAAACTCTTATGTTAATAGTCCTTTCTGACGTACGTAAGAGGTAGAGTAAATCATTTTATGAAGTTCCTAACCTGTATCTGACGAAAACTTGACAGAATCTTGAGGAAATTGTCGTTCTTATTCTTCTAATGATCCTCAGAAGAATCAGTACTAAATCCTGGAAGCACCATGTTTGAACAACTATGGAAAAGTCTGGGTGGGAACCTGACGAAGTCTTGTTAGGAGCTTGTCTAACCAAACTATTCCTAAGCAGCAACGCGAGTTATCAGGAGTTGAAGCAGGATCCTGTGGAAAACCTGATGTAGGTCCTTGCGGCTCTGGATCGTACAAGAACCTTGAAGGGTTTCTCAACAAATGGAGAAGGTTAATAACAGAATTACTATTACTAGAACATACTATTTTGACACTCAATCACGTAATAATAATAGATAACTGCTAACGATTACTAAGACGAATTGCCGTGACACAATTAAGGGGTCCAAAGTTGAAAAGCTGCAGATCAGCTCTGGCTTGTTATAAAAGTAAGGTATAAAACAACAATGAGAGCAACGATTTTGTATACTGGTGAAGAATTGGTAACCACATTGATTAAAGCCACATTCGAGCTAGGAAAAATCAAGTAATGAGTTTTGAAGCGCCATGTAATGTATTTCCTCAAAGCTGTTACTAGCAGGAAGTCACTACTCCTAGATATATTGCGATGGGTCGCGTTCATTTGGCCGACAATTACTTGGCCGACACATCACTTGGCCGACACCATTTCGCCGACAAATTGTTTGGCCGACATGGACACTTCGCCGACAACCCATTTGGCCGACAAATATTTGAAGTCAAAAAAATTAAAATTTCTGGAAAATGTTGCGTCAGAAA